AAAAGTATTTGCACTGGTATGCTCACACTCTTGCAGACACACCATTTGAATTGACCTGGCTTCACATGCAGCGACCAGGTTGGGCACTTGACCGTCGGATATTTTCTGCACATTCCAGGTTGCGACCACGGTCTCTGTCGCAGCCCTACCGCCCCGTCAATGATTCGGGCACCGTAGTGTCTGAAGAAACTGCACCTGATTAATATCGGGCTCAACGTGTGTCAAATTATCACCATAGAGGTTCCATCCTTTTGTCGGTCCCCATTCTGCAATCAAAGTCTTTTGTGTAGTATCATCAGCATTCGGCATATACCACATATATGTCATTGGCGGACCCGTCTCACCTCGAAGAATAGCCGTCGCATTTTTCTTGATATCAGAGAATAGTGCTTGAAACCGTCCTACCGCCCGAACATGTTCTATCTTCCATGGCTGGCATTCAACTTGAAATCGCACATTGGGAGGCAATGAAGTGAGTCCCCGCCTGTAGTCATTCTCCCACACACGTTTCGCTTCCCATAGGATATCAGAGGATGTACCTGGCTTGAAATAGATCCTACCCCTCGTGCACGGCCAATATCTACCAGTATTCTCCTGAACCGTCCGATCCAAGTCCAGTGCCACCCTCTGTGTAGCATCAATTTGTTTAGAGTCAATGAGACCATTCATCGCCGTCGTGAGTGCCTCCTGTGAAAGAGCCTCCCGCTGACGTATCTCACGGTTCCTCCATCCCTCCCTTGAAACCCACCCCTTGAACTCAACATAACGTGGATTCCAACCAGGATCGTGCCTGTCCGTACCCGCCTTCGTTGATCCACTTGATACCGACAGCCCGTCCCCCTGCTTGAGCTTCTGAACTTCATTGGTGAGGTCCTGGATCGCCGATTCCGTTTTTGATACCCTGGAGTCCAGAGATGTTTTCAGACCGTCCATTTCCGTACGAATAGAGTTCCTGAACGATTGCATGTCTGTCGTCATAGTCTGTTGTCCCGTCATGATGGATCGAAACATCTGTTCAATGTCAAGGCCGGCTTCCTGGGCAACCTCATTCGCACCCAACGTTTGTCCCGCACCTCCTCCTTCTCCTTTCCCTCCTCCTTTGACATTACGAGCACGGACAGCTCTAGCAAACGCCCCACCCCCATCATCAATTGTCATGTCCTGGCCCACCGCATGCAAGCCTGGAGCACCTGAAAATGAAGAACCTGCTGGCATCGCTGGTGCAACACCTGAAACTGAAGAACCTGCTGCAGCCATCTTCCTTTTGTGGCTGCGTAAGATATTGAAATCGTAACCTTCACCCTGCACGAAGTGGTTACGCAGGATATTGAAATCGTAACCTTCACCCTGCACAAACGGTACTGTTGGTGTGAGCGATGGCACACAAATAACAGCTCTCCTGTCACCTCGAGGTGTCCCGACCTGTCTAGCAAGATAGTCCCAGTCCGCGTGACTGAAGTCGGATCCCCAGCACTCCGTCGTTCCAAGAGAGAGGAAAAGAGACAATTGCAGCAGTAGCAATAACAATAACAAGTGCAGGCGGCCTAGCACACACAATAACAATAACAAGTGCAGCGGCCTAGCTGACCTCGATCTCGCTGAACCCTAAGAAGACGAAGAAGGCAGCGATGGCTGCCGCGCCGCCCGCGGCGACGCACCCCCCTCCCACACGCTAGACGCCTGTGGGATCCAGACGCCTTGATCCAGACGCCTTGAGCCAAAATGGCTCAAGGCGTCTGGATCAAGGCGTCTGGAGAGTAAAGAGGCACTCACACTGGGCGCCGGCGGTAAAGAGGCACTCACACTGGGCGCCGGCGGTAAAGAGGCGTCTGGAGAGCAAAGAGGCACTCAAGTCATCACTTGGTAGCGCCCAAAACCCGGAGAGCAAAGAGGCACTCACACTGGGCGCCGGCGGTAAACCGTCAACCTTGGCTACCGCCGGGAGACTCGTAGAGCTTCCTTGCCACATACCATCTCCAAAGAATTAGCAGAGAACGAATAATTTTTCAGCCCGAGCGCTGATAGCAGACTGATTTCAGGCGTCTAGATACATCTAACGAGCGCCCCTGACGATTCCCTTACCATTGCTGTGCTGAACAGCTCTGCAGCTCATCTGCAGCACGAGTAAAAACAAGAAAACCAATACCATCTCCAAGAAATTAGCAGAGTACGAATAGTTGTTCAGCCCGAGCGCTGATAGCAGACTGAGTTCAGGTGTCTAGATACTTTCAAAAAGCGCGCCTGATGATTATATTCCGATTGCTGTGCCTAAGAGCTCTGGAGCTCATCTGCACCTCGAGTTCAGTCAAGAAAACCAATTCCATCACCAGAAAAAAAAAAACATAGTATGACTAGTTGTTCGGCTTCTGCGCTCATAACAGACCCAAGCCAAACGTCTAGATACTTCTGACTAGCGCGCCTGATGATGTTTGTCCGATTCCTGTGCCGAAGAGCTCTGAAGCTCATCTGTAGCTCGAGTTAAGCGAAGAAACTCACCATCATCTCGAGAAAAATCTGTAGAATACGAATAGCTTCGCGGACCTAGCTCGAGTAGCAGACCGAGTTCAGACCTGTAGATGCTTCAGACGAACGCGCCTGATGGTTCTGAATCGATTACGTGTGCGCACCAACTCTGTAGCTCCCCTACAGCTCGAGTTAAGTACAGAAAACCGACAGTGCTTGTCAAGACGACTCGAAAAAGCCGATCCCGCCGGAGTGCTTTTTCGCAGTAATAGGTACCCGATCGAGCTGAGATTTAGACGGCGAGCGGGAATAAGATCGAATATCACGGGAAAAATACTAGAGCTCTAACGAATTCTTGAATGTCGAGAACATAATTTTCAACCGAGCAAAAGTCCGCAAAAAGTCCGTCAAGTTTTTTCTTGCCAACTAGCTCCCCAGCGCGCCGGAATTACTGGGAGCCGGCGGTAAACCGTCAACCTTGGTTTGTTCTTTGGTTTCTCAGGCACCACGGAACGCGAGGCGTCCCACCTGGGCCCAAGGCTGGGCGGATATTGCCCTCGCAATACCATCTCAGCTACCTCCAGGAGGCCCTCTGAGGCCGACAGCTCAGCCTCGGTTAGTGCACTGCCCGCGGGGAGGAGGCGCGCCACAGTCGCAACACGCTTCCAAACGAGAGGATCGAGCGGGGGATGGAGGCAAGGGGTCAGGCGAGGGCGCGAGGGATAAGGCTCACCGTTCAGGGAACGTTCAGAGAGATCAGGATAGAGAGGGACGATACCTGCTTCAAACCAATAACCAATGCCAGTGCCAGACTCACCCACCCAGCCGTCATAATGACCACGGAGGGCTACAACTCTATAATGGTCCACTTCTGATAGAGATAAAAGGAAGAGGAACATCATAGCATTCACGACCCTCACGCGCATCATGTGTGAGCCCGTCCGCTACCCCATTCCCCTCTCGAAAAATATGCTTGCAAAAATCTGTACCCCAAGACGATGGACGAGCACCCTCGGAATGATACAACTCATCTAACTTACGGATCAAGCTGTCAACCCTGGCCTGATAGAGATGTGAAGCCCACTGCGTGACCAGAAGCCAATCACCCAAGAGCTCCATCCCCACTCCCTCGGAACAGATATCCCAGGCCGTCTCCCGCTCCAGGTTCTGAGCCAAGCGTTGCGCCAGCTTCTCCGACGCGGGGCCCCTCAGACCATGGTCCTGACCAAAGATCTCCTCCACCCTCCTCTTCTCCTCGTCGTTCCTATTCTCCGCCTCCCTCCCATGCCCAACAAAATAACTCTAGTACTTCTCCAGGCCGCGCAACCTCAGGTAGCGCTCCGAGAAACACAAGAAATATGCAGGCTGGGACTCAATCTCCTTCCACCACCGAGAACCGTAGATGGCAACAAAGGGGGCATACCAAGGGCGTTCACCTGCCGCTTCACCGCCTATACGAATCCCCCTCACTCCTCTTGCTCCCGTAGCTCTAGACATAGCCAAACATGCATCCCCCCACTCCTTGCAACATGTCATCAACATCCGCCTCGAATCCCTCCAAGCCCGCGAAGCACTGCACGGATAAGATACACGCAAACGCTTGGCCCGACCCTCGTCTGTGGAGTATCCCTCACCCCACTCAGAAGAACAATTTGCAGAGACATCTCGAGACAAATCCCAAGTGGCAGTAAGAGCACGCTGAACTGCAGACTGGAGGCCGTGAGAATGGAGGAGACCCCTCACCCAATGCAGCCTGGCCTGGCGCCAGATGGATCACGACTCGTGTTTGGGCATACGGCCGCCGAACATACGCAAGAGACAGGAGCCCTCGAAGACGTTGATCTTGCGAAGAGAAGCGGCGTCCCAAGTCAGACCAGCAGGCCAGCACAGCAGCACCGACTGACGATAGAGGCACATCTGCGACACTTGGGCTCCCAAGCAATCGCTCGACCAGGAAAATACTCAATCTGACCGTAGAAAGCCTTGCGAGCGGCGTCCACACGGCGATCAACATCGGCATTAGGTGCCCGAAACGAAATATGCACATCGTTGCCCTCTTCGCTCTTCGGTATTTGGACGCTACGAAGATGGGCGCTACCAAGTTGCTCTCCAGGTTGTGGACGCTACCAAGTGGACGCTACCAATAGTGGTTCCCAAAACGAGTTTTCATTTGGTAGCGTCCAAAACTGGCGCCGGCGGTAACCGTCAACCTGGCTACCGCCAGACCTCGCGGAGCTCCTTGCACGCTCGCACTGCTGGGAAAGAAGCAGAGAGCTTCTGGAATCATTTCGTAACAAAAAAATCATGTCGACATGAAGTTGGTTCCCCAAGTGTGTTGATAGTAAGAGTGCGCCTACCGAGCTCATATTACGACGCAGAGGCCCTCATTGTCTTTTGTAGGTGCGAAAATCTGGTTTCTCAAAATGCACTGTTACATTTGTTTCTTCTCTTAGCCAAACCGACTTAAAGTTACCACATCTTCTGTTCTGGTCGGGTCGACGAACTGGGAGCCGGCCGTAAACCGTCAAGCAGGTTTTTGAGTTTGAGTCAGGGCGCGGACAGCTGTGACAGCTGAGCCCTAAGACTCCCAAACGGAGCACAGGGTAGCTAGAGAAGGCACCTCTTATCATCACACTGCCGAGCCACTGAGGCATAGGCATCGGAATAGGATGCAGGAACAAGGAAAAGGATGCAGCACAACATGTGAGAATGCAAAGGTGTTGGAACAGGTTAGAGAATGGTGTAAGAGCTGGTTGAAACGCTACCCAAAACGTGTTCCACGGCCATACAATGCCGTTTTACTGCATTGGGATCTGCCTAAAGCTCTGGAGAGACCGAATCAGTTCCCAGATAACAGGAGAAAAAATCCGTGAATATGAGCTCGAAAACATCTGGGCCGACCAACTAGCTTCATCCCGCGCCGAAATTCCTCTAGCTCATCGATGGAATCCGGCGGTAAACCGTCAACCAGGAAAAGCCGGAAGCCTCGTAGAGCTCTCTCCTCGCGCGGCGCTCATCGGGATACGTAAAAAAAAGCTTTCTCAAGGATTTTTGTTCAGTTACTTCCCAAAGTTGGTTCCCTCAAGTGTTTTGATATTATTGCAGCTACGGACCAGAGAGTTGGACTGGCAGACGCGCCATAACCCACTTCAGGTGAGAAAACACTGCTTTCTCAAAATGACTTGTCAAATATCTATCAAATCTTAGCAAAACCGACCCGAAGTCACCAAATTGTCTCTTTAGGTCCGATCTGTCAACTAGCTCCAACCCTGCGCCAGAATTCCTCTTAGCTCATCTTGCCGAAGAGCCCTACGAGGTACTAGCGCGTCTGATGATCCCTCCACTTCCTGTGCCAGAGAGCTCTGAAGCCCAGACGCAGCTCGAGTTCGGTCTAGGAACTCACCATCATCTAAAAAAAGGTAGAATAGGAATAATACCTCGTAAGGCTCTTCGTTATCGATGAGCTGGAGGAATTCAGGGGTGGAGCTAGTTGGCCGACCCGGCCAGAACGGACAATGTGGTAACTGTTGGTCGGTTTTGCTAAGATTTGAAGAATATTTGACCATTCATTTTGAGAAAGCAGATTTTTACGTTTACGCCGAGCATTGGCATATAAAATGTGTTCCCAGAGCAGCTCAGCTCTCTAGAGGCAGTTTTAGTATCAGTTCACTTCCAGGAACCGACTTCATGTTAACACCAAAAAATCTCAATTTATGTTTTTTGTCCTAGAAATGCTCTGAGAAGATCTCCGCTTCGATCCTGGCTCTTACTCGTGGAAGGAGCTCTACGAAGGTCCCGGCGGTAAGCAGGTTGACGGTTCACCGCCGGCACCAGCGTCGCAAACCTAGCTCCAGTAGCGGACTGAGTTGAGACATCTAGATACTTGAGACGAACGCGCCTGCTAATTTCCAATCGATTATGTGTGCGCATCAGCTCTGTAGCTCTCCTACAGATCGAGTTGAGTAGAGACATACGGCAACAGCTGTCAAGAAAATTCGTACTATACAAACAGGCTTGCGACCTAGATCGAGTAGTGGACCGAGTTCAGACCTCTAGATGCTCCAGACGACTGCGTCTGATGATTCTGGATCGGTTTCTGTGAGCACCAGCTCTGTAGCTCTCCTAAAGCTCAAGTTAAGTACAAAAAACCGACAGCATCTCTCCAGAAAACCCGTAGAATACGATTAGCTTCGCAGACGTAGCTCGAGTAGATCGAGTTCAGACCTCTAAATGCCTCAGATGACGGCGTCCGATGATTCTGCATCGTTTTCTGTCCGTATACGAGAAACTGACAGCATCTGTCAAGAAAACCGATAGAATAAGAATAGTTTTGCAGACCTAGCTCGAGCAGCAGACTGAGTTCAGACCTCTAGATGCTTCAGATGGAGCCACCTGATGATTCTGAATCAGTTTCTGTGAGTACCAGCTCTGTAGCGCTCCTAAAGCTCAAGCTAAGTGCAGAAAACCGACAACACCTCTCGAGATGACTCGAAACAGCTGACGGTTCCCTCAAGTGTTTTGATAGTAATACTGCAGCTACGGACCTGAGAATTGTACTGGCAGGCGCGCCATAACCCACCGGTTCCTGAAAACAAACTTTCAAATTTTGCGCAAATATAAGAAAACCACCCCCAAGTTATCACATTGTCTCTTAAGATCGGGTCTGCCAACTGGGCGCCGGCGGTAAACCGTCAACCTTTCTTACCGCCGGGGGACTCGTAGAGCTTCCTTGCAATATATTATGTTCAAAGAATTGGCAGAGAACAAATAGTTTTTCAGCCTCAGCGCTGATAGCAGACTGATCTCAGGCTTCTAGGTTTTATTTCGCTATTGCCCCTTACGATTCCCTTCGCATTGCTGTGCTGAACAGCTCTGTAGCTCATCTGCAGCACAAGTAAAACCAAGAAAAACAATATCATTTCCAAGAATTAGCAGAGTACAAATCGGTGTTCGGCTCTAGCGCTAATAGCAGATTGAGCGTGGGTGTCTAGATATTTTTAAATAGCGCGCATGACGATTATCTTCCCAGTGCAATGCCTCAGAGCTCCCCAGCTCATCTGCACCTCGAGTTCAGCCCAGGAAACGAATTCCATCAGAAGAAAAATAAAAGACTATGACTAGTTGTTTGGCGTTCGCGCTCATAACAGACCCAAGTCAAGCGTCTAGATACTTCGACTAGCGCGTGTCATGATTTTCTCCTGATTCATGTGCGCAAGAGCTCTCGAACACATCTGCGGCTCGAGTTAAGTCAAGAAATTTACCATCATTAAAATCAGTTCAATACAAATAGTTGTGCGTACCTAACTCGAGTACAAGACCGAGTTCAGAGCTCTAGATGCAACAGACGCACGCGCCTGATGATGCTGAATCGATTGATGTGCGCGCCAGCTCTGTAGATACAGAAAACCGACAGCATCTGTCAAGATGACTCGAATAGTACAAATAGGTTCGCGGACCTAGCTCGAGTAACAGACCGAGTTCAGACCTCTAGGTGCAGCAGATGAACGCACTGATGTGAATGGTTTTCTGTAAGTATCAGCTCTGTATCTGTCCTACATCCCGACTTGAGTCCAGGGAACCAACAGCACCTGTAAAGATGACTCGAATAATACAAATAGGTTCGCGGACCTAGCTCGATTAGCAGACTGAGTTCAGACCTCTAGATGCAACAGATGAACGCGCCTGATAATTTTGAATGGGTTTCTGTAAGTATCGGCTCTGTAGCTGTCCTACAGATCGATTTCAGCACAGAAAACCGACAGCAGCTGTCAAGAGGACTCGAATAATACGAATAGCTTCGAGGACCTAGCTCGAGTAGCAGACCGAGTTCAGACCTCTGGATGCAACAGACGAACGCGCCTGATGATTCTAAGAGGGTTTCTGTAAGCATCAGCTCTGTAGCTGCCCTACAGCTCGAGTTAAATACAAAAAACCGACAACGCCTGTGAAGATGACTCGAGACAGCCGATCCTGCCGGAGTGCTTTTTGACAGTAGAAGGCACCCGATCGAGCTGAGATCAAGACGGCGAGCGGAAATAAGATCGAATATCACGGGAGAAAATATTAGAGCTCAAACGAATTGTTGAATTTCAGAAACAAGATTTTCAACCGAGCAAAAGTCAGCAAAAAGTCCGTCGAGAGAGCTCTTTCACCACGCTGCTCGGAATAATGGGAGAAGCTTCCCGGGCATGAGCTCAAAAACTTGAAAAATTACGTTTACCAGTTGTTACCAAAAGTCGGTTCCTTCAAGTGTTTTGATAGTGATACTGCAGCTAAGGGCCTGAGAATTTTACTGGCAGATGCGGCATAACCCACTACAGGTGCGAAAATTACCAGCTCTCAGAACGAATTTCAAATTCTCTCACAGTCTTCGAAAAACCGACTCCAGGTTGACACATTGTCCGCCCGGGCCGGGTCGGCCAACTAGCTGCACCCCGCGCCGGAATTCCTCTAGCTCATCGATGCCGAAGAGCCCTACGAGGTAAGAACGCGCCGGGTGATACTAGATCGGTTTATGTGCGCACCAGCTCTGTAGCTCTTCTAAATCTTCAGTTAAGTACAGACAACCGACAGGACTCGTCAAAATGACCCGACGGATACAAATAGTTTTGCGGACCTAGCTCGAGTATGAGACCGAGTTCAGACCTCTGGATGCAACAGACGAACGCGCCTGATGTCTCCGAATAGGTTTCTCAGTATGAGCTCTGTAGCTTTCCCGAATCTCGAGTTAAGTACCGAAAACCGTTAACGCGTGTCAGGATGACTCGGAACACAGTCGGTTCCAGCAAGTGTTTTGGTAGTAATACTGCAGCTACGGACCTGAGAATTTTACTGGCAGACACGGCATAACCCTTCAACACGTGAGAAAAGTACCAGTTCTTAAAACGAACTTTCAAATTTTGCACACAGATACAAAAATCGACCCAAAGTTACCACATTGTCTCTTAAGGTCGGGTCTGCCAACTCGGATCTGGCGGTCAAACGTCAGCCAGGTAACCGCCGGGAGCCTCGTAGAGCTCTTTTCTCGCGAGGCGCTGCTCGGAACACACGGAAAAAAAGCTTTCTCAAGCGCGAAGAAGAAAGCTCGAAAAATACGTTTTTCCCGTTTTCATCCAACGTCGGTTCCCTTGATAGTAACATTGCATCTACTGACCTGAGAATTGGACTGGCAGACACATGTGAAAGATATGGCTTCTCAAAATGAGGTGTCAAATATCTTTCACGTCTCAGCAAAGCCGACCCCAAGTCACCACATTGTCTGTTGAGGTCGAATCTGCCAACTACCTTCACCCTGCGCCCGAATTCCTCTTATTATGTCCAAAGAATTAGCAGAGTTTGAATAGTTTTTTCAGCCCGAGCGCTGATAGCAGATGATCTCAGGCGTCTAGATACATTTCACGATTGCCCCTGATGCGTAGCTCATCTGCAGCACGAGCGAAACCAAGGAGAACAAGAACATTTCCAAGAAAGTAGCACAGTACGAATCAGTGTTCAGCCCTAGCGCTAATAGCAGTGTGAGTGTGGGTGTCTAGACACGTTCAAATAGCGCGCATAACCATTAGCTTCCCATTGCAATGCCTAAGAGCTCTCAAGCTCATCTGCACCTCGAGTTAAGCCCAGGAAACGAATTCCATCACCGAAAAAACAGAATATGACTAGTTGTGTAGCGTCTGCGCTCATAACAGACCCAAGCCAAGCGCCTAGATACTTCAGACTATCCCGACTCACGATTTTCTTGTGATTTCTGTGCGCGAGAGCTCTCAAGCTCATCTGCAGCTCGAGTTAAGTGAAAAAAAACACCATCAGTTCGAAAAAAATCGGTCGCATACGAATAGTTTTGCGGACCTTGCTCGAGTAGCAGACTCTGTTCAGAGCTCTAGATGCTTCAGCAGAACGCCCCTGATGATTCTGAATAGATTTCTGTGCGTACCAGCTCTGTAGCTCTGCTACAGCACGAGTTAAGTACAGAATACCGACAGCGCCTGTAAAGAGAACTTGAGAAATACGAATAGCGTCGCGCAGCTAGTTCGAGTAGCAGACCGAGTTCAGACCTCTCGATGCAACAGACGAACGCGCCTGGTGAGACTGAATCGGTTTATGTGCGCACCAGCCCTGTAGCTCCGCTAAATCTCGAATCAAGTACAGAAAACCGACAGTACTGGTCAAAATGACTCGAAGAATACGAAAAGTTTTGAGGATCTAGCTCGAGTAGCAGACCGAGTTCAGACCTCTGGATGCAACAGACGAACGTGCCTGATGATTCTGAATCGGTTTCTGTAAGCACCAGCTCTGTAGCTTTTCTACATCTCGAGTTAAGTACAGAAAACCGTGAACGCGTGTCAAGATGACTGGCGCCGGCGGTGAACCGTCAACATGGTCACCGCCGGGAACCTCGTAGAGCTCCTTGCACGCGTAAGAGTGCTCAGATTCAAAGCAGACAGCTTCTCGGAGCATTTCTAGAAAAACGTCGAATTTCCATTTTTCGGTGTCAACGTGATGCTGGTTGCTCCAAATGTTTGGATAGTAAAACTCTCTCCAGAGAGCTGACCTGCTCGCAGAAGAAAGTTTGGACACTAATGCTCGGAGTAAAAATCTGCTTTCTCAAAATGAATGGTCAAATATCTTTCAAATCTTAGCAAAACCGACCGAAAGGTACCACATCTTCTTTTCTGGTCGGGTCGACCAACTAGCTCCACCTCGCGCCAGAATTCCTCTAGCTCATCGATAACGAAGAGCTCTACGAGGTACTCGGAACACAGCCGGTTGCTGCAAGTCCTTTGATAATAATATTGCAGCTACGGACCTGAGAATTGAACTGGCAGACGCGGCATAACCCACTACACGTGAGAAAAATATGGTTTCTCAAAATGAATGGTTAAATATCTTTCAAATCTTAGCAAAACAGACCCCAGGTCGTCACATTGTCTCTTAAGGTCGGGTCTGCCAACTGGCGCCGGCGGTAAACCGTCAACCTGGTCACCGCCGGGAACCTCGTAGAGCTCCTCGCACGCACTAGAGTGCTCAGAATCGAAGCAGAGAACTTTGTAGAAGATTTTCTTAAAATCTTAATTGTTGTATTTTTTGTCAATACCAGGTCGGTTCCCGGAAGTGAACCCATAGTAAAACGCCCCCAGAGGAGCTGAGCTGCTCTGCGACCAAAGCTTATATGCGCATGCTTGGCGCAAAAATCTGGTTTCTTAAAGTAAATGGTCAAATATCTTTCAAACCTCAGCAAAACCGACCGAAAGTCATCACATTGTCCGTCCGGGCCGGGTCGACCAACTGGGCGCCGGCGGTAAACCGTCACCCTTTCTTTTTGCGGCTTTGCGAGGCTCCTACTGGCCCTAGGGCCACGAGCAAGCACGAGGTCAGGTGTCATCAGGAAGCGAAAGCTCTTATTCGAACCTAAAGTCAAGACAACCCAGAGCAGCGAAGCTGCGATGAATCATCAATCACAAATATGAGCGAACGAGCAAACGCACACAGAAATGAATCAAAGTGCAGTCAACTAAACATGCAAAAGAAAAGAGAGAAGTCCCAGCGAAGCTGAGTATATAATAGTATGAGGAAGCAGCAATGAATTAAGAAAACTGCAACAATCAAGTCTGTGATAACCATAGAACTACCTGTGGGAGTGCAGTCACGATGCACTCCAAAGCACTGAGTTCTGTATCAGTAACAGTTGTGGTCAGAGATGTTGTATATTCTGAAACTGCAGAGAATTCAAAACACTGTCATACACTCTGAAAGGATCCGCGGGCGTCGCGTTGTGACACGAAGGGGAGACCACTCAACGAAACACGGCACGCCCAAGACCAAGTTCAAGACATGACAAGTTATCACACAATGGAGGGGACTAGAAGGAGCCAGACATACTCATAAGAAAATCTTTCCACGCATCCATACACAAGCTCAATTCCTCTATTTCTTTCTCGCGTCCATACTCAAACTCCGTCCCTGTCTTAATGTGTTCCCGAATGTCTTCCAACTTCAAATCATGGACCATCAACAGATTACTCACGCAGTTTTGCCGCTCGGCCTTTGTCAAGAATTCATCATCCCTTAGCCGTGAAATAAACCCATGCCAACGATCATCCTTCGCCTTATGCAGCCTATAAAGCTCATCCAGCAGATCGTGAGCTTCCATACCTCGAGTTCCAATGGCAAGATATTCACCAGTCTTATCTATCTCCAGCTGAGTGGCAAGATGTTTATCCCGAAGAACATCATTACCTAGAACTTCCACAGAGACCTCGATATGAGCCAAAACGTCTTTGATCTCAGCCGCGTATCTCTCGCCAATTTGCCAATCGTCCATGGCGTCGACATCATCAGAACTTGAATCGTACACTTCACGCTCATTTTCGGCGATAGGGTCATATGAAGGTGTGTAGCGGACCGCAGGAACATTATCATCACTCCCATAAGAAGAACTCTGAACATCACGCGATGGGGAAGAAAGCGAACGCGAGACAGATGCAGTACCGAGCCACTCCCCAGCAATACTCTGTCGAGATTTCCACCATCCAAGCGCCCTCGACTCCATACCACTGGCAACGATGCCACTTCCATGGACTGAAACTGAAGCAACTCTCGTACGAACTGAAAGCTTCCTTGGGCAGTCAACCTGGGTCCCATCCTCCATTGAAGACGCGTAGCGGACCTCTGGAACACAATCCTCGACCCGAACACTCCTAGAAGGAGACGTGTCGGGAGCTACAACTGAATCAACTATTGCGCAGCTATCGGAGGGATGGAGTAATGCAGTCAACAACTCATTAGCCTTAGTATCCAACTCTTCATGCAATACCGTGTCACGCTCATTAGCCTTAGTATCCAACTCTTCATGCAATACCGTGTCACGGGCGACTAGGCCATCGAGCACCAACGGAAGAGGACAATCCTGTCGAACCCAGCGAAGTTGGCAAGCCCGAGCCCGACGTCTACACCTGGATGCGAGACTCCGCACATGAGGCATCTGGCACAACAAGATCACGAAAGGTAGGTATATGGCGAACCACTGAGGGGAGATGTGTGAGAACACCTGAGATATCACAACAATGATACACAGCAAATTGATCAAAATGCAATCCACTCAAGGCAGATCTGAAAGAACCAAGACTTGCGAGCACCACTCGAGGCAGTGAAGAAAAACCCCGGGCGTCCCAGGCTCGTCACGCTTCCGCCGCCGGCTCGCGCCAGCAACTTCCGCGATCGGCCAGTCTAAGCCCGAGGTACGGTATCGGGGACAAGTATGTGTGTACACGTTACTTGAGCCGACACGTTACTTGACCCTTTCTTACCGCCGAGAGACTCGTAGAGCTTCCTTCCCATATATTATGTCGAAAGAAAAATAAGCAAAGGACGAATACTTTTTCAGCCCGAGCGCTGATAGCAGACTGATCTCAGGCGTCTACATACTATTGCCGCTGATACTTCCCTTCCCATTGCTGCACTGGGCACGCGCCTCATGATGCTGAATCGATTCATGCGTACCAGCTCTGTAGCTCTCCTACATTTCGAGTTAAGTACAGAAAACCGACAGCATCTGTCAAAATGACTCGAATAATACAAACAGTTTCGCGGACCTAGCTCGAGTAGCAGACCCAGTTCAGACCTCTAGATGCAACAGATGAACGCGCCTGATGATTTTCAATGGGTTTCTGTAAGTATCAGCACTGTAGCTGTCCTACAGCTCGAGTTAAGCCTAGAAAACCAACAGCACCTGTCAAGATGACTCGAATAATACAAATAGGTTCGCCGACCCAGCTCGAGTAGCAGACCCAGTTCAGACCTCTAGATGCAACAGATGAACACGCCTGATGATTTTGAATGGGTTTCTGTAAGTATCGGCTCTGTAGCTGTCCTACAGCTCGATTTCAATACAGAAAACCGACAGCACCTGTCAAGATGACTCGAATAATACGAATAGTTTCGCGGACCTAGCTCGAGTAGCAGACCGAGTTCAGACCTCTGGATGCAACAGACGAACGCTCCTGATGATTCTGAGAGGGTTACTGTCAGCATCAGCTCTGAAGCTGTCCTACAGCTCGAGTTAAGTACAAAACACCGACAACGCCTGTCAAGATGACTCAAAACAGCCGATCCCGCCCGCGTGCTTTTTGGCAGTAAAAGGTACCCGATCGAACTGAGATCAAGACGGCGAGCGGGAATAAGATCGAATATCATGGGACAAAATACTAGAGCTCAAACGAATTGTTGAATTTCGAGAACAAAACTTTCAACCGAGCAAAAGTAACCAAAAGGTCCGTCGAAATTTGTCTTGCCAACTAGCTCTCCAGCGCGCCGGGATTACTCTTAAGCTTCCAGCAACTAGCTAAGGGAAGCTCTACGAGTTACTAGCTCCACCCCGCGCCGGAATTCCTCTAGCTCATCGATGCCGAAGAGCTCTACGAGGTACTGGGATCCGGCGGTAAACCGTCAGCCAGGTAACCGCCGGGAGCCTCGTAGAGCTCGTTTCTCGTGCGGCGCTGCTCCAAACATACGGAACAAGCTTTCTCAAGCTTAAAGAGAAACTCGAAAAAATACGTTTTTCGGTTTCATCCAACGTCGATTCCCTCAAGTGTTTTGATAGTAATACTGCAGCTACGGGCCTGAGAATTGGACTGGCAGACGCGGCATAACCCACTGCACGTGAGAAAAATGATGGTTCTCAAAACGAATTTTCAAATTTTGCAGAAAGATAAAATGGGATCGGGCGGTAAACCGTCAACCAGGTAACCGCCGAGAGCCTCGTAGAGCTCTTTTCTCGCGCGGCGCTGCTCGAAACATACGGAAAAAGCTGTCTCAAGCGTGAAGAAAAAAGCTGGTATATATATATATATATATATATATATATATATATATATATACATATACATATATATATATATGTATATATATCCGTTTTCATCCAACGTCGGTTCCCTTGATAGTAACAGTGCATCTATGGACCTGAGAATTGAACTGGCAGACACACGTGAGAAAGATATGTTTTCTTATGATTTCTGTGCGGGAGAGCTCTCAAGCTCATCTTCAGCTCGAGTTGAATGATAGAAATCACCATCAGTTCGACAAAAATCGGTGGCATACGAATAGCTTTGCGGACCTAGCTCGAGTAGCAGACTCTGTTCAGAGCTCTAGATGCTTCAGCCGAACGCCCCTGATGATTCTGAATCGGTTTCTCGCTAGCTCACCTACACCTCGAGTGAAGTACAGAATACCGACAGCGCCTGTAAAGAGAACTTGAGACATACGAATAGCGTCGAGGACCTAGCTCGAGTAGCAGACCGAGTTCAGACCTCTCGATGCAACAGACGAACGCGCCTGATGATAATGAATTGGTTTGTGTGCGCACCAGCTCTGTAGCTCCTCTAAATCTCGAATTAAGTACAGAAAACCGACAGCACTGGTCAAAATGACTCGAAGAATACAAATAGTTTTGCGGACCTAGCTCGGGTAGCAGACCGAGTTCAGACCTCTGGATGCAACAGACGAACGTGCCTGATGATTCTGAATCGGTTTCTGTGAATACCAGCTCTGTAGCTGTCCTACATCTCGAGTCAACTACAAAAAAACGACAACGCCTGTCAAGATGACTCGGAACACAGTCGGTTGCTGCAAGTCTTTTGATAGTAATACTGCAGCTACGGACCTGAGAATTGAACTGGCAGACGCGGCATAACCCACGACACTTGAAAATGATGGAAAAAAAAAACAAAAAAAAAAAAAAAAAAAAAAAAAAAAAAAAAAAAAAAAAAAAAAAAAAAAAAAAAAAAAAAAAAAAAAACTAACTTTCAAATTTTGCACAAAGATAGAATAACCGACCCCAAGTTACCACATTGTCTCTTAAGGTCGGGTCTGCCAACTAGCTCCACCCTGCGCCCGAATTCCTCTTAGCTCATCTTGCCGAAGAGCTCTACGAGGTAATACCGACCCGAAGCTATCACATTGTCTCTTAAGGTCGGGTCTGCCAATGGGATCTGGCGGTAAACCGTCAACCAGGTAACCGCCGGGAGCCTCGCAGAGCTCGTTTCTCTGGCGGCGCTGCTCCAAACAGACGGAAGAAGCTTTCTCAAGCTTGAAGAAAAAAACTCGACAAATACGTTTTTCGGTTTTCATCCAACGTCGGTTCCCTCAAGTGTTTTGATAGAAATACTGCAGCTACGGACCTGAGAATTGGAAGGGCAGCCGCGGCATAACCCACTACACCTGAGAACAATACCGGTTCTCAAAATGATTTTTCAAATTTTGCAGGAAGATAAAGAAACCGACCCGAAGTTATGACATTGTCTCTTAAGGTCGGATCTGCCAACTAGCTCCACCCTGCGCCCGAATTCCTCTCTCATTTTGGCGAAGAGCTCTACGGGGTATTTCTGGACGGATGAGCTCTGAAGCTCATCTTCAGCTCGAGTTAAGTGAAGAAATTCATCGCCATTCGAAAAAAATCGGTCGCATACGAATAGTTTTGTGGATCGAGCTTGAGTAGCAGACTGTGTTCAGAGCTCTAGATGCTTCAGCCGAATGTCTCTGATGATTCTGGATCGGTTTCTGTACGTACGAGATCTGTAGCACTGTTACAGCTCGAGCGAATTACAGAAGACTGACAGCGTCTGTAAAGAGAACTTGAAGAATACGATTAGCTTCGTGGACCTAGCTCGAGTACCAGACCGAGTTCAGACCTCTCGATGCAAGGAAAGAACGCGCCGGGTGATACTGGATCGGCTTATGTGCGCACCAGCTCTGTAGCTCTTCAAAATTTTTAGTTAAGTACAGAAAACCGAGAGGACTTGCCAAAATGACTCGAAGGATACAAATAGTTTTGCGGACCTAGCTCGAGTATGAGACCGAGTTCAGACCTCTGGATGCAACAGACGAACGCGCCTGATGATTCCGAATAGGTTTCTAAGTATGAGCTCTGTAGCTTTCCCGAATATCGAGTTAAGTACCGAAAACCGTTGTGTTAGGATGACTCGGAACACAGTCGGTTCCCTCAAGTGTTTTGATAATAATACTGCAGCTACGGACCTGAGAATTTCACTGGCAGACGCGGCATAACCAACTACACGTGAGAAAAATACCCGCTCTTAAAACGAATTTTCAAATTTTAAACAAAGATACAAAAACCGATCCAAAGTTATCACATTGTCTCTTAACGTCGGGTCCGCCAACTAGCTCCACCCTGCGCCCGAATTCCTCTTAGCTCATCTTGCCGAAGAGCTCTACGAGGCACTGGGAGCCGGCGGTCAACCGTCAACCAGGTTACCGCCGGAAGCCTCGTAAAGCTCTTTTCTTATGCGGCGCTGCTCGGAACACATAGAAGAAGATTTCTCAAGCGTGAGCTGAGAAACTCGAAAAAGCATGTTTTTCGGTTTCTATCTAAGGTTGGTTCCGCCATGTGTTTTGATAGTAATACTGCAGCTACGGACCTGAGAATTTCACTGGCGGGCGCGGCATAACCTTCTACAGGTGCGAAAAATACCCCTTCCCAAAACGAATGTTCAAATCTCCCACAGTATTCGCCCAACCGACCCAAAGTTCCCACATTGTCCGCCCGGGCCGGGTGGGCCAACTGGACGCCGGCGGTAAACCGTCAACCTTTCTTACCGCCAGGAGACTCGTAGAGCTTCCTTGCCATATATTATGTCCAAAGAATTGGCAGAGAACGAATAGCTTTTCAGCCCCAGCGCTGCTAGCAGACTGATCTCAGGTTTCTAGATATGTTTCACTGTTGCCCCTTACAATTCCCTTCCCATTGCTGCGCTGAACAGCTAAATAGCGCGCGTGACGATTATCTTCCCATTCCACTGCCTCAGAGCTCTCCAGCTCATCTGCACCTCGAGTTCAGGAAACGAATTCCATCACAAGTAAATTGAAGAGTATGACTAGTTGTGTGGTGTTTGCGATAACAGACCCAAGCCAAGCGTCTAGATACTTCGACTAGCGTGCCTCATGATTTTCTTCTGATCCATGTGCGGAAGAGCTCTCGAACTCATCTGCAGCTCGAGCTACGCGAAGCAATTCACCATCATTTCGAAAAAAACCGGTCGAATACAAATAGTTTTGCGAACCTAACTCGAGTACAAGACAGAGTTCAGAGCTCTAGATGCAACAGACGCACGCGCCTGATGATGCTGAATCGATTGATCTGCACACCAGCTCTGTAGCTCTCCTACATTGCGAGTTAAGTACAGAAAACCGACAGCATCTGTCAAAACGACACGAATAATACGAAAAAGTTCGCGAACCTAGCTCGAGTAGCAGACTAAGTTCAGACCTCTAGATGCAACAGA